TCTGGGGAGAGCCAGACACTACCCACCTCTGAGGTCCAGTGACTTCACTCAGTGATTAGACATCCTAGAGGGTCTTAAAATTACAGTTTGGAGAAAGATCCTTAGAACACATAGAGAGGCGCTGTGGAAAGGATGTGCCCGTCCTGTGGTGACCAGTTGTCCTGAGGCGGCCAGTCCTGTGGCGGCCAGTCCTGAGGCGGCAGAAGAGAATGTCAGTGTCAGCAGAAACCAAATGCCTCCAGGACAGTGGCTTCACTGGCACCTGCATCCCCCCCAGGAAGCCAGATGGTGACTGGATAAGGAGCTGCCTGTGAAGGCTGCTGGGAGGAACCTGGAGACAGGAGCTGATGCAAAGGTCATGCCCCTGAGGGCAGTAGTTACCAGAAACAACTCGGTGTCAGGAAGACAAAGGGTTGATACCTAGGGAGAAAAAACACTAGGGGATCAGGAGCCTTGAGACTGCAGAAAAGGAAGTCTAGAAGGAAAGGCAGAAGGAAAGGGACTGGACCTAGGAAGAGCAAGATAAACCAGTTTGCTCTTTAAATGCTGGCCCCATCACAGCCATCAGAGGCCGGGACAGGGCTGATCACTGGCCACTGCTGACTAGTCCCCTGAGGAAACTGTCTCTCCCTTAGCCTCCAATGTCTGTTCTTTCCTAGTTTCCCCTTTAGAGCTACAGGAAAGGGCTGGCGGTAGGAAGAGGTGACAGACAGTACCAATTGTTTGTTTGTTTATTTATTTATTAAAAATTTCCACCTCTTCCTCCCTTTTCCCTACCCCTCCCCAAGTACCAATTGTTAACAAGATGGATGAAGGGAGAATGGAGTCAGAGTTCAGATGTGCTGCTGTGGGGAATGGCAGTTTGCAGGCCATACAATCAGCTGGAGCCACAGCATTGAAAGTGGCGTGTTACTTTTCTCAGTAGTGCACGGCAAGCCAGACATAGATGGGGAGACCCTGAAGGTTGGGCTGTCTCGGGTGTGGGTTGGGCAGGATGGAGGAAACAGAAGAACAAACCAGTTAGAAAACTAGGGGTGGAGGTGTCAAGAAAACGGAGGGGGAAAAGTGGGTCTAAGTGGCCAGAGAAGAACGTGAATGTAGGAGCCCATCTCATGGGTAGAAGGGAATTACAGGAAGACACAGTTTGTACAGGATGAAAATGCTGTACAAACAGCGAAGGACTCTGTGGTTAGAGACGGGAGCCCTGGCATGGGAGATGGAGAGCAGAGGGGACCCTGGGTGGTTAAGAAAGGTGACATGGCATGGAGGCCAAGATTACTGCCAGGAGTCCAGCCCTTTGAGGCCCAGGCCTGAGATAAGCCATAGTCTAAGCCATAAGTCCAGGTAGTGGCAAACCCCATGACAGGGACGATGGCAAGATCCAAGGTGCAGGAAGCATTAGCAGGTGCCACACAAAAGGAGGAGAGGAGTCTGTATCCAGAAGCACCATCTTTACCAGAAGCTCAGATTCCAGCGTTGTCCCCAGGGGAGTTGCCCTTGACCTCGGTGAGGCACATGGGCATGGGCAGGTCAGACTTGCCGCGTGGACGCAGGCTGTGTCTCCCCGTGTGAATGCTCCGTGGGTGTTTGTAGCGGGTAGAGACTGGAGTAGAGACTGCAGTAGTATAGTACTAGGCCGCAGTGACCCTGCTTTGTCCCTTACAGCGCTCACCAAGGACATGGCCAGCGTCGGTCCTACTATGAGACTGAGTGAACAGGAGGAAACCGGGAGAATCATCGAGATGCAGCGCCTGGAAATCCGCCGCCTCAGAGACCAGATCCAAGAGCAGGAGCAGGTCCCCGGCTTCCACACCGTCGCTGGAGTTCGGCTCCCTTCCCTCATCGATTCAGATGTGGATTTTGAAGTGCATACCAAGTGACCTCTGGTGAGCAGCCACAGCTGGAAGCACCATGTGTCTGTCACCAGGCCAGGCGTCTACCTGAGTCCTATCAACCTCTTTCATCTGGAGAGCTGGGGTCAGAATAAAGCAGGGTGAGAATAAAGGTGTTTGCTCACAGCCTTGTCCAACATCTGCTGAGGGTGGGGCCATACGGGAAGGGGTGAGAAGAGTCTGAGGACTGGGGACTGTAGAATCTCCAGGCCATTGCCGTTGGCTCCTGTGCAGGAACTGGGCAATCTGCATTGCAGACATGGCAAGACCCAGGGCCCGCAAGACAGGGCCGTCTGTTCACATCTTAAGTAGCTCACCTGCAGCTTCTCCCCTGTCTTTCACCTCTCCCAGCCAAGTCAGAACCAAACAGGGTCTCCTCTGGTTTCTTCTTCCTCATGAACTACAACAAGGGACTTCCTGTCTTTTCTTCTCAGTCTTTTTAGTTCTCTACATCCGGCCTTCCAAGCTGCTAGACCTACCTGCTGGGTGGCCCTGATTCTCTGGGTGCTACCTCTCAGATTTTTCCCCCACACACTCTACTTTTCCTGTCTTGACTTCATGGGGAGGCAGAAAACCCTCCTTCATACCAATTACCTTCTCCTCGAGGTCTCTTCTGCTGGTTGACCCCTCCCTGGAAGACTGAACCTGGCAGTCATTCCCATCCCCCACAGCAGCTGTAGAGGCCGAGCCAGTCACCCACTGGCACATGAACTCAGCTCTTGCTCTGCTGGTGGCAGTCCATCCTTGAGCTCTGGGGACTCATTCAGTGAGTGTGACAGCCAGTGGCTTTGGGAGGAGCTTGTCATCCTCGTGTAGGAGCCTCAGAATCGCTCTTTTTCTCTGTGCCTCCGACATCCAGGGTACACCACTCCCCCACGCACACACAAGTCTTCTAGGATCTCAGCATCAGTTACGGCCGGACAGTGTACATTGCTCCGATCTCAGATGTGCCTTTTCTGCCACCCTGTCCTCTTAAGACAGAAACTCCACCTCACAGTGCCTTGGCATCAACGTCCACCTTTCTCCACTGTTTCCACAAAGCACGAGCAACCATGTCCTTACTCACCAGCTGTTCCCAAGAGGTCCTGAGGGGCACAGGCAGTCCCAGGAACAGCTGTATGATCAGGTAGCACCTCGTTACAGTTATTGCTCTGGGTTCAGAAAGGCAGGAGGACTGATATCTCAGGATCAGAAGTGGGGCTCATCTCACGGCTCTGTGCCCCCAAGAGAGTGGTCATGCTTTGTTTCTGTCTGAAATGCAGCCATGAGTGGAGCCACACTGGGAGGCATATTTATAAGGACATAACCTTGCCGTGTGCCAGGCAGCAGGAGGGGCCAGCGTTACTGATTACCTGCTATGACTGGTAGGTTTACAAGAACTGGTATTTTATTGCTCATCTATTAAGTGTCACATGGTAGAACAGGGCAGGGGCATCTAGGCACACATTGTTATGCCCAAATCTGCCATCCCCACGAGCCGACAAGGAAACCAAGAATTTCGTATGTAAAAGCAAAGAGCCTTTATTTTAATCAAGTTTGTAAACTCGATCTCTCCGCATGTCCAACGTATTAGAATAACCGGAGAGCCCCGAGCTCAATTAGAATTGGGTTTTCTAGTAGTAAAGGTGGGGGTGAGGGGTTTCTGAGGTTTTAAGACCCCTGATTGGCTGCCTTTCGTCTAGGGTTTCCTGGTGACTGTGCACTGGCAGGTGTTTCTATATACAGTGCTTAGAATGCCAGTAATTTCCTTTGAATGGTCTGTTTTGGGGTGGGGGTCGGGTGATCTCAGCTTGTGGTTCCTTCTGCAGCCTCATCTTCAGGGTAAACTATTGAGACTCCAGTCTCCATTTAAATTCACTGATGACCGGAGTCCCAGGTGATAATGGTTGGAAGAAGTAAAGAACTTCCTTTGGGTGACCTGCCCAAACTTAGATTATCATGGCTGGCCCCAACACATATTAAGTGTATTAATGTAGTAAGTGTTAAAAGTAGTAAGTGGGGCTACGAGTTCTAGCAGAAGGCTACAGGTGCCTTTCTTTGGCTACAACTCCAGACAGCTTAAGCAAAGAGAGGGGAATTTGTCTCACAGGCTTTCTTTTGGCAGAGAAGCACCCAGGCCTCAAAAAGGAGGCTTGAGCCAGGGCTTGGGACACAGCTGGAGTCCATCCCCCTCTCTTGTCCAGTACCCTCCGTGCAAACAGGAATCCCATCACAAGTTCAACTGGCAGAAGGGCACTTTAACCACTGAGCCATCTCTCCAGCCCTCAGAAGGGAGGGCACTTTAATACTGATCCTCAGAATCTCCAAGCACAAAGGAAATCTCCAGTTCATTTTTGTACTTTTTAAAGTTTACTCTCCGTGTGTGTGTGTGTGTGTGTGTGTGTGTGTGTGTGTGTGTGCGTGCACACGCGCGCATTGCTGAGCATAGGTGCTCATGGAATCCAGACAACCACATCAAAGCCTCTGGAACTGGAGTTGCAGGCGTTTGCGAGCCTTTTGTCCAGGACACCCCCATGAGTTCAGCTGTGCTCACTGGCTTGGGCCAGCATCTGGGCTCTTTGACTGTCAGCCTTCCCTGGGTACCAGAGTGTCATAAACCCTCACTGGGGATCCAGCTGCACCTCCCAACAGGTGTGTACAATTTTGGCCTAAGTAGATGGACTCTGGGATGGATGGGTAGGATTTACTGTATACAGGGGTTAGGACTAGGGAGAACAGTCCATCTATGCATCCATTGAAAGACCCCGGGAGTGGAGAGACTCTCACTCAAGTCTTGGGATAACATGACCCCCCCAGGAACTCACAAGAGGCCATCCTTGCTGCAATCACACAAGGTTTATTGACAGGAACCAGCACACTGGGGCCGAAACTCATTTCCCACGCAGGAGTAGAGGAGTTCGACCCCGAGTAGCTGGGAGAGGGGATGTTTAGGGGAAAAAACCACGTCCCAAAAGGAGTAGGGAGGGCGTCATTGGAAAATTCCAAAAATACCAGTGATAATCACAAAGGGGTAACTCCCCGTTTCTCAAGATTATTCTCAAGATTATAATCTAACTTTATGGTCATCTAGTTCCTGGAAGAGAGTCACTGAACCGGCTAACCTAGATTTTTGTTCTTCTCTCCCTGCTAGATTTTTGGCTCTACTCTTCCTGCTAGATTTTTGGCTCTATTCTTTCTGCTAGAGGGGCCTGGATTTATCCGGGTCTTGCACCAGGAGGGAGTTGTTATCCGTTCTGGGTGCAGACTTTCCAGTGCGGCTGCTTTAAGGCCACTCCTGCTCACACCCATGATCTCCGCTGCTCTGTAAGGAAACACTATAAACTTACTGCTTCCCCAAAGTGAACCTCAATGGAATTGTACCTCAGCTTGTCCTTGAGACCTTCAGAGAGAGAGAGAGAGTCATTGTTTACTTCTCCCCCACAGAAGGAATTTTAGCAATCAAGCTGCTTGACATGTGTCCTGGGAACTGAACACAGGTCCTCTGCAAGGATAGTGCGTGCTCTTGACCACTGAGCCATGTCCTCGGCCCCTCTAGCACAATCTTAAATTGCTCAAACAATGGGGAGATATGGGGGCCTAGCCTGAGTCTGGGGCTTACCTCTGTTCGGTCAACTGTAGACACAGTAGTGAGTCATAAAATAGAATCCTAGTTCCTAGAGCTCTTACCTGGAAGAGGATGAGCATCTAACTGGGACCTATGTCCCCCAAAATATGTCACCACGCAGAGGTATGGCTCCACTGATGCCCTACAGCTACCCTGTGGTATGTCCTTTTTTCCTCCTAGCCTTTCTGCCCAGAAGACGGGAACATTCGCTCCCAGCTCTCACTCCTGTGTCCCCTGCACAACACCTGGTTCGCAGAAAGGGTACAATAATTTTTTGCTGAATGAGTGGATTCTATCATTTAATTCCCCTCGTAACTATTCATTAAACCTTGTTATTTTCCAAAGGAAGAGAACCAAACCCACCAAGCATGCCCTGGTTGGATTTTTGGTGTTTTTCTTCCTTGTCAACATGGTGCAGCTAGAGTCATTGGAGAAGCAGAAATCTCAGTTGAGAAAATGTCCTCACTGATTGACTTGTAGGCAAGTCAACAGGGTGTCTCTTGATTGATGGTGTGGGAGGGCCCAGCACTCTGTGGGTGCTTCCATCCCTGGACCAGTGGTCCTAGTGTTAATTGCAGGCAGGCAAAGCAAGCCAGTAAGCAGCACTCCTCCATGGCCCCTGCATCAGCTCCTGCCTCCAGGTTCCTGCCCTGAGTTCCTTCAAGTGAGGGACTGTGATGTGGAAGAGTAAATGAAATAAACCCTTTCCTTCCCCAAAACTGCCTTTGGTCATGGTGTTTTAACATAGCAATAGAAACCCAGCAGGTTTTCTATTACCTAACTAGAGCTAGGATTCGATACTTCGAGATCAGCCTGGCTCCAAAACCATAATTCCACTCGGTTGGTTCAACAGCCATGCGGTGTACAGCTGTTGTTCTAGGAGCTGGAAGCACAGCAGTGGGAAAAGCAAAGCAAATCCTTCCTCGTCAAGGTCATCCTTCAGGAGGGAGAGCAACAGCAATGTGTACATGGGGGTGATAAGGGGAGGGACAGGGGAACAAAGGAAACAAGGGGGTGAGAAATGCTGGGGAAGATGGTGATGGGAAGACAGGGTGGCCAGGAACCTCTTCTGAGAAAGGGTTGGGCATGACTGACCTCAGGGTCCAACAGCCACCATCTCTGGGAGCTCAGCAGAGCCACTTCCAAAAGAACAGCCCAACTGAGCTTGTTGGCTGTTTACAGCTCCCCACAGGGAAGCAGAGAGGGTCTCTGGGTCCTCACCCGAGTATCAGCCACTCCAAACCACCTCTGTCCTAATTACATGTGACCTGGGGTGGGGGACTAGAGTGTATAGGCCGAGGAAGACTAACGAAGGGGATGGTGAGGGGTATGCACCAGAGAAGATGGCTCTGACAGGGGTTTAAGCCAACAGAAAGTCTTGATTAGCCGGCCACTGACTACACTGGGTGTTTGGGATCCTGGGATAGCCCTGAGTCTTTCTCAGGGTGAGCTTTTAAACACAAAAACCATGGTTCAGGGTTGACATACATCAGTTAACAAGAACAGTTAACCAGAAGCAGAACCACAAAAGTCAAAAAGCAAGGTTAGTACTTTCAGAGACTTCCCCAAACCTATGGACTTTGGGGGATTAAGTCTCTGTTTTCATTTTGGCAGGTGGTGCTGTCTACCTACTGAGTTTCACAGCCTGAATGGTTCTTCCATCATGGAGTCAGTTGTGCTATGGTCTAAGGTCCTGTTACAGGGGACTCCATCTGTGAAGCTGTAGGGAAGACATCATCCCTGCACTGTCCAGTGCAGCCTTTTGTTGGGAAGCACCCACATTCTAGTAACTAACCCCTCACCTATGCTCTGGAAGTAATCCCAATAAATTCATTGGTTCCCAGAGTGAACTTTGGTGGAGTCAAATCATTGGGACCTCAGGAGAAGGGGCAGACATAGCTTTCTTCTCCCCTTGGGAATGGATTTTTAACAGCTGAAGGTGACATTTGAGCACATTCCTGGGATGGAGGGGGTCATCTGAAAGGAAGATGGAGACACCAATGAACACAGGTTCTGAGGCAGGGGGATGACGTAAAGAGGGCCTCAAAGAGCATGGAAGGACCCAGACTGCCCATGGGAGGGACTCAAGCGGGCAGTGACGTCACCATAACAGGCTCATTTCAGCCTCTGGCTGAGCACAGAGGAAGGTGGGGCCACCACAGAAGCTGGGAGATGGTCCTTCAGCTCGTCTCTTCTTCCCCTGCATTTTCCCCTCAGACCTACACCTCCTCCTGTGTGCCCACTGCCACCACTACCTCCCGACCTGCCATTTCTGCCCCGTGAGCTGCCCCCACAACCTCTGCTTTAGGAACAGGTGCAATACTAACTTTGAGTCGCTGACTTCCCCCACCAGTGTTTAAACTGAGAAAGCTCTAGGCTCTCTTTCTTCCTCTAGAGACTCCAAAGGGGAAAGAAAAGAGGAAAAAGATGCTCAGGGATTCCCTGGGGCCAGTTCTGTCTGGGACAGCTGAACATTGGGTCAGCATGAGACTAGACTTTCCTAGGGACCAGGATATTCCAAGTGTTCAGAGAAAATCCAGGCTGGCAAGCTCTACTCACCCCGGCCTGGTTCTTATAAAGGGGCACATTCATAATGCTTTGAAAAGTGGCAGGATTAATGACCGCAATGTCACGCATGTCCCCCATTTTCAGCCTGGCCTGCAGCAGTCAGCCAGTCCTAAACTTTTCTTCAGAGAAAGCCATCCAGAGTTGTGCTCCCTAATGAGGACATAGTCAAAGGCAGAGGTGGTTCCTAGGTGCTTGGTGTGTAGCTAATTTGAACTGAGATACACTTTGTATGTATTTCAAAGAACACATTAATACCTTTTAAAATAAAATACATCTTGGAATTCAAGTACATGTATTCTTGCAGCGCTGGGGATGAAATCTAGTGCCGAGAAACCTCTGGGCTATGTCCACAGCCCAGTAAATACATCCATTTTAACGTGTTAATTTTGCCTGTGTCTTTTGAAACAGGCTATCAGAAAGGTTTAAATCACATAAATAAGCTCATACATACACACAAAGCACACTGTTCTAGAGTTAGGAGGTACCGAGTCACCTACACAGGACAAGGCAAAGAGGAAGCCAGGCCAGGCAATTACCCTGTGAACAGATCATGGGAAGAGATAACTTGGGTTTCCTTTTGCTATTGTTTTGGTTTCGTTTGTTTGTCTTGGTTTTATTATTATTATTTCATACACGTGAAAAGAAGAGAGAAGATATGCTATGTATATTTTAGAGTAGAGCAGAGGATACCTGACAGCCCACACACCCTCCAGCCACTCTGGTCACTTGGGGCATGGTGTTTAAGAACCAGATAGGCCAACTGGAAGCAGAGCCCTGAACCACATCCCTGTTACACTTCAGAACACTTTGTAGATCCCCTGCATTGTCCAGATGCATCCCTGAGGCCTTCAAGACCCACACAGCCTGGACCCAACTTGTCTTTCTGGTTTCATCCCAAATACTCAAGGCTCAAAATAGTCACTTGTTGGTTCACAACCCCTCCCCCTTGTTGAGACAGGGTTTCTCTGTGTAGTTCTGGCTGTCCTGGAACTCACTCTGCAGACCAGGCTGGCCTCAAACTCAGAGAGCTGCCTGCCACTAAAACCCAGCAGGTTTTTTTGTTTTGTTTTGTTGTATGTTGTTTTTTTATATATATAATTTATTTTTTATTTTATGTGCACTGGTGTTTTGCCTGCATGTGTGTCTGTGTGAGGGTGTCAGGTCTCCTGGAACTTGGGTTACAGACAGCTGTGGGCCACCACATGGGTGCTGGGACTTGAACACCAACTACTCAACAATTCTTTATCAATCGTCCTGCACGCACAGGCTGCAGAGTGCTGGCTGCTGAGACCACCCTTAGCAAACTGAACTGGCTGGGGATACACATCTGGGGAGTGGGGTAGGTGAAAGCTAACGAACTAAAACAATTAAGAACAAGCAAGAACAGTGTGGATGAACATGGGGGTAGCCCAGGCCGGGAGTGCAGCCCAATCAGCCAGGTCAAACCGGGCATCTCAGCTGAATGATTGGCCAGACTCAGGCAGAAGGAGCACGAAGTTCAAAGGGCAGGTAGAGGATCGTCAAGTAGAAGGACCCTCTGGGTAGAGGGCAAGGGCTTCCTGTGCCTTGAAAGGGATGTGGAATTTGTCCAAGAAGTGCTTATTCTGGGAGCTACAGCTGTCCACCTGAAAGGCCTCTCCCCACCCACGGGGCAGGCTGACTCTGCCACCCTCTTGAGGCCTCAAGGAAAGAGACCAAGGACTTATTGCTACTGGAGCAGGGCTTGGGGTATCACTGCTGGTGGGCTGTGGTGCCAGGGCCGACTGGGAGGCAGAGCTGAGTTTTGAAAGACTAAACTCAAGGATAGAAGTCTAAAGTGCGGCTGAGGGTACAGCTGGAATTTAGAACTAAAAGTCCACAATCAGCTAGACTAATGGGCTGGAGCTGAGGTTTCAATCCAGGTGTGGGGCTTCCCGCTGGCTAGCCTCCTGCCTCGGCCTTTCAAAGCGCTAAGTTTACAGGCCTAGAAAGTAATTACGTGCAAGCTTGGCGGTAGGTATTCAGGGAGGAGCTAAAGGTTAGGTGCGGCTGGATTTGGGGGAAGAGGGTTGGGGCTCAGACCGGGGCAGAGGGACAGCATTCTTTCCTTCTGCTGACCGAGTCTACCTACATATTTGCCTTCCAGACCGAACAGCAGCAGACAGAAGCCCCTCCCTTCCCAGGAATGTCTCAGCCCCACAGAAGACGCAGGGCCACGTCAGCCAATTGGCTCCGGCCCTGCCCTGGAAACAACACCTGTTAATCCCCTCTCCTTCCAGCTCACCTGGATGCAGGTTAGGCAGGTGAAGCGTCTCCCCAGAAACGGAGCTAGAGCGCCCCACCTGCTGGGTCCTGCCTGCTTAAATCGGATCCGGCACAGCCAGGCTTCTCGTGAGTGCCCCACACCTCCCACCCGCCCCGCCCCCACCTTTTCCACTGGTTCCACTACTGGGAACCTCCACTCATCTTGGGGTCGTTCCCCAGTAGGCCTGTGCCAGCACCTTCAGACCAGCAAGTCACATGCTGGGGAAATGCTGGGGCAGACTCCGCCCATCGCCCTTCCCCCACCTCCCGTGGGGGCGTGGCGTCTACCACGCCCACTTTGCGTGCTGTGCGGCATCTGTAGAGGACAGAGGGGTGGTAGAAGACCGCTCTGTATCTGTGGAGTAAAAACCCGTTCTCGGTTGTGTGGGACATGTGGTCTCCAGGACCGAGGCCCTCTCTGATTCACCCTTAGTCTCTGTTACTCAGAAAGTATGTTTTGAGCAACTTTGCCCCATGGAAAGTCTGAAAGGACGGTGTCAGATGACTCCTTCCCCTCAGAATAAATTCCTCTGTCCTCACTTTTCAGATAAGGACTCTAAGACGTAACTGGGGGCTTCCCTGTCCCCGGCAAGCCCCTCCGGGACTCGCAGCTGGCACCTACAGGATTTGTCTCTCCTGCCGCAGGAAGCTGGACTCCAGGCCGGCAGTGCTAGCTTTATTTTTACCTGGTGTGAGTCATGCTGTCTATCCTCTAGGGAACAGGTTAAATGAGTAACACTGCTAGGTCCCTCCCCACATTCCCACGGTGGGAAGGACAAGGCTGAGGTTCAAATCCAGAGCTCTCCTTTGCTGCTTTAGAGAACACATGGAGGGGATTCAGCGGAGGATAGACAAGAGCGGAGGAATCAGGTCAGTTGGGGGGCGGGCAACTGTGGACCGGACTGGTGGAGATACCTTTAGAGGCAATCGGTAGCTCCTGGGGGCATGGATTGGCAACAGCAGAGAGACTTGAGGAGCCCTGGTGTGAGCTGAGAGGTGGTAGTGTCGTCTTGAGGAAACAACACAGGAGGAACAGGTTAGGGTAAGCTGAGGAACTCGGGTTGGGCCCTGTTGCATCAGAGATGACTTTGGCCCAGCAGGAAGATCAGCACTAGAAAGAGAGATTTGGAGCCTGCATCTTTTATTGGCAGACCATGATGGGATGGGATGCTAACCCACAGAGAAGGAAGGATACAGCCCTAGGAGAGAAAGGTCAGGGTCAGCCTGCTGGTTCCAGAAGGGTTAAGTCACCAGCTTCCCCTCCCCACAACTCCTCCCATCCAGGACCCAGCAGTGACAGCTGAGGCCATGTGAGTCTGATCCTGAATGAGGCTTTATCTCTGACTGTTCGTCCCATCATCCACTGTGGCACCAGCTCCCTCCGACAGCCTAGATGGAGACAGACAGAGCTGGAGAGGTCAGGGGCCGGGCAAGGGGATTCCTTGAAGGGTAAGGGGAGCTCGGTGATGGAGTGAACTCTGCTGGGATCTGGGGAGGTGCTTTCCCAAGGTGCAATGCTGGAGCTGCAACTTTCCAGAGCAGGTCCTGTGGACCCTGGGGAAGATTCTCAGGGCTCTTTCCTAAGATGCCCAGGTGAGACCGGGAGGGGCCAGACGGGTGGGAAATAACATGTGGTCCTGTCCTGCAGGTGATGGTACCAGTAACCTGGACTGAGAGGAGGAGACTTGGCCTCTAGCTGCCAACCAGGTGATGGGGACACCAGGCCACGATAAACACCATCTGAGCCCTGACATTGATCTTCTCACCTGACCCTGCCTGACCAAGCCATGTCCCAACAAGCCTCAATGCCCAGGGGGCTGCCCCCAGATGTGCTGGCAGAGCAGGTGGAGCTGTGGTGGTCCCAGCAGCCCCGGCGCTCCTTGCTCTGCTTCTCCGTGGCCGTGGGCCTTGTGGCTGGCTGTGGGGCGGGCGGTGTGGCACTGCTGTCCTCCACCAGCAGCCGCTCTGGCGAGTGGCGACTAGCCGTGGGCACTGTGCTCTGCCTGCTGGCTCTGATGGTTCTGGTGAAGCAGCTGATGAGCTCCGCTGTGCAAGATATGAACTGCATCCGCCAGGCCCAGCACGTGGCCTTGCTGCGCAGCGGTGGAGGGGCTGATACTGTTGTAGTGCTCCTCAGTGGCTTTGTGCTGCTGGTCACTGGCCTGACCCTGGCCGGGCTGGCTGCTGCCCCGGCCCCAGCTCGGCCACTGGCTGCCATGCTGTCTGTGGGCATTACCCTGGCTTCCTTGGGCTCAGTCTTGCTGCTGGGTTTGCTGCTGTATCAGGTGGGTGTGAGTGGACACTGCCCCTCGATCTGTACAGCTGCACCCTCCACCCAAAATGGCCACGGTGGTAACAGCAGCATCTTTAGCATCTCGGGACAGTTGTCCTCTGGCCGGCGTCATGAGACCACCTCCAGCATTGCCAGCCTCATCTGACAGAGATGGAGCCCTTCTTCCCATGACCTGACTCAGTGTCCCCAGAGCACTGGCAAAACACGTACAGGAGCATGCATATATGTCTGCCCCCAGCCCGCTACCACGGGATTGCATAGGACGTGATTAGGTGCTCACCTGTACCCGCCACATCCACTCGGTGAGAGGGTGCATTATGGATGCCTCCTAGGGGCTGAATGCTTGTGTCCGTGGACTGTCATGCTCTCTGCCTGGTTCTGGGGTCTCTAGGCACATCTGGAATTCCTGAAGGCTTTGCCTCTATCTCCAACACCCTACGACTCCAGCCTTGTCCTACGGCATGAATACACCAACCACTGTTCTTCAGAGAGAGTGGCTCTTGGCAAAGCCGAGGGAAGTGGAGTGAGAGGGACCTGGACCAGAAACGCCTTTGAGTTTGTAACCTAGCAGCTGGGGCCTGGTCGAGGTGACTATTAGCCTCTCTTGCCTCAGTTCTCCGAACAGTGTTGCCTTCGATGTTTAGGATTAAATCAGTGAGTGAGAGGAGATGACTGGACTCCTGGCAGATGTGCAATAAAAAGGTGACGATTGTCGCTGTCTTCACCTCACCTCACCTCACCTCAGAGACCCTCATTCCCCAACCCCACAGCCCATTCATTTCAGGCTCTGAGGCCAGAATATTGTCAGACCTGGGGTTTCTTTTCTCATGAGAGAAGGGGGAAGGGTCAAGAGGATTACACAGGTTTCTGGACCTGGAGTGTGTGTGTGTGTGGGGGAACCCAGTCCTTCATATTGTTCACTTGTTAATTCAAAGGGAGATTTAGCCACAGGTATTGGTGACTTTCTCTAGAAATGTGCCCTCTTCCCTATATAGTCTGTCTTCTCTGGATTCCCCGAGGGAAAGTTTGGAGGGTCTCCCTCCCCTACCTGTGAAAAAAGGACAGCCTGCAATCCGTGTGGTCGCTGTACCAGTTGGCCCGCTTCTGGGTTCCAGACACAAGAGAGGTATTCAAGCCCTTCTGAGGCCCACAAGTCACTTCCTGCTTGGAGCCACTCTTTCTGTGATATGCGTTTCCAGGTAACAGGAATGTAGGTTACTGCTTTTGCCACTTCCGCGATACAAGGTGCAGATTATGTGACGACCCCGGAGACCTGTCTCCTAAAAGATGCTGATGCAGGAGAAACTCAAAGTAATAAAACTGATGCTGTAAAGCCGCATTTCCTAGCCTGCGGGTTGCGATCCACTTGGGGTCGAGTGAACTTTTCACAGGGGTCACATATCAGATATCCTGCACGTCAGATATTTACCTTATGATTTATAACAGCAGCAAAATTACAGTTAGGAAGTAGCAAAGAAATAAGTTTATGATGGAGAGGGTCACCACAACATGAGGAACTGTATTAAAGGGTCACAGCATTAGGAAGGTTGAGAACCACTGGTATAAAGGATTTACTAAAAAAAAATCTTGCTTGGGAAATATTAAATTACACAAAGTAGAATTTAGCTAACGGAGCACTGTCTCCAGCATGAAGATAAATAGTATTCTAACCAGGCTTGCTAGGAACTGTGGGAAAGAAAGCCTGGACCACGACTGAAGTTGGGGTTTGCTGAGGAAGTTTCTGCTAATGTTTATTCACCAAGATTGACCTCCAATTTGGCTCCACTCCCTGATTTACAGCTAGCCATTAGACCCATCCCTCTATCAAAGAATGTGCCCCTTAGGGGAGGCTCAAGTGGACAGGGCAAGGCACAACCACCATTAAGTACTGGTCTGCCACTGAGCCCTCTCCTCACCGTCTCCCCCTCCCCTGTGCTCTATCAGGGAGGCATACTTCCGCCAGGTGGACAAGATGGACCTCATAATGACTATTATCAACGGAGCTGCAGGCTTCGATAAGGACAAGTCGCTTTCAGCAGACAGGGCAAACCTGTCTCCTGGAAGGATGCAGGGCTAGTAAACAAGGGAAAGGGGACTGCAAACAGAAGGGCAAGGCGGGCAGAGCCAGGGGAGGAAGAGCAGCACATGGCCCAGAATGCCCAGAACAACCGAAACCTGTCTTCTGAATGTTCCGTGCAGCTTCATCCCTCGGCACATTCAACATGGGATCACTGCTCTCTATCCTAAGAGCTCCCACGTCTGCTCCGAAGGTGCCACAAGTTACTGTCGTTCACCCCACCCCCACCCCCGCATCCAAGTCAGAGACGCAGACACTGGAGGACATTCACTGCCTCCTCTCCCAAGACCACCACCAACACATCTCCTCTGAGTCCCTCATAGACAACACACAGTTCTACACTCTTCAGAAGGGACCCCACTTTGTGGGATCATCATAAAACTAAAATGAAATGAAAATCTACCTTAAAATGTTTCGTAATGCCATGTGGTCTTATTCTCTCTGCCTCGGGGATCAGCCACACAGAGCTATTTCTTTCATTCGTCCCGGCCTTTGTCCTGTTCTCCATCCTCATCCTTTAAGACCCTGCCCACATTCTCTAGGGAGTCCTTCCTGACCCTCTCCCTTAAATTGATGACTTGCTTTTTTGTTTTTGTTTTTGTTTTTGTTTTTGTTTTTTTTTTTAATGCCCACAGCACCATCAGCTACAGGTGCTAACCCACAGCTCGTGATGCACCTGAAGAGACTCCGTCAGGTACAAGCTCCTCCCTGCAGAATGGGTTTTGATTTTGGTTGTCTATGGTTCCACCCTGGACCTAAGGTTGAGACCAAAGCGCTGCAGCATGGGCAGATGGCAATGTATGCACAAGGGACAGTGAGACCCACCTTTAGCCAGGAAGGGCAGTCAGGCCAGTACACATCTGGCTCCAAGTCCTTCCCTCCTGAGGCCCTCAAACTCTCTCCCTGAGTTCCCAAAAGACGCAATCCCAGACCAACTCCTGGGGAGGCAAGGGACCACATGACATCCTTCTACCTGGAATAAGCAAGGGGTCCCTTTTCCTTCCAGCCAAGACAGGCCTTGTCTCTTTTTAATATCTCTTCTAAGAAACTGAAGTAATTCAGAAATGCAGAGGCTTGGAAAACAGGAAGGGGGCACAGAGCTTAGACATCTCACTGAGCATGTGGCAATGGTGCCAGACTCCCAGGGAAGGCTGTGAGGGAGAAGCACGCCACCTGTCCCCATCGGATGGCCTGCTCTGTAAGACTACAGAAGTCGGCCATCGATCCACCCGACCATAAAGGGAGGTAGGTAATGGAGCCAGCAGTACATCTGCCAACTCCGTCACTAGAGCAGACCCACAGCCTTTCTTGCCGTCCACTGCCTTGTTCCAATCAAGTCACTCAACCTCTGTTTAATTCACGTCTCCGTGAAAAGCCCACTGGCCTCTCTGCTCTCTCCAACGTGAAGACACTTCCCTACCCTGTCTCCACCTCCCTCGTCCTTTGGTTAAGATTCTGTGGCCACTCTCACCCTTTGTCAGGTTCCTCTACCGTGAGCCCTGCTTTTGCTCTCAGCGAAACCTCCTCCACAGGTGAACCCACCCTTTGCCTAGCAAAGTGGGTAGCTAGCAAAGGGGCTGCTGCCCCTACCCACTGCCCCACCCAACACCCTACAGTGATACACGTATCTGCACTAGATACACCTCCCAACCCAGTCTCCACAGCTGGCTCAGCCCCCTGCCACTACACAAACACACCGCGAGAGATTATGGGAGGCATCCTCTCTTTCTCACCTTTGAGAGCCCAGGGAGGAATTTAGACTTTGTCCTCAAGACCCTGAAAAACATGAGAAGGTTTTAATCCAGGGAGGACCGTGGTTAAAATTAGTTGGACAGCTTGGCTCCTCTGTGGAGGTAGAGATTAGCCTTAGGAAGAAAAGAAGATGTGGTTAAACAACCCAGAAATGCTGAGCTGAGGGCTCAACTGACCCTGAGGGAGGAGAAGTTGGAAAGAGGAGTTCAGACAGAGGAAAGCAAAGGGCTTTAGCAATTTAGAGGCAGCAGAGAGGGTGTATGAGGCTAAAGAAAGGGGAGAACAAAAGCTAGAAAGGGGCGCCAGGTGAGGGCTTCAGGGGTCTCTTAACAGGTGGGCCCCTTTCTTATGGCCAAGGGGAAGCTGGAGAAGGTCGTTTCAAGTTTGGTAGGAGGCTTTGCATTCATGTATGAGTGGATGCATGTGTACACATGCACACATGAATGGGGGGATATTAGGTTGACATGGGGTGCCTTCCCCCATCTCTCTCCACCTTATAAATTGAGGAAGGCTCTACCCCTGAGCCTGGAGCTTGCTGTTTTGGCTAGTCTGGTTGGTGACTCGGAACCTCCCTGCCTCCACTGAGCTCCGGGGAACCAAACTCTACTAGTACGTCTCGTGTGGCAAACACTTCCCACTGAAGCCATCTCCCAGGCCATAGTGAGGATTTTAAATGGAAACATGGCCTGGTCAGAACTGTGTGTTCAGGTGAACATTTTTGTGCAGATTGTGGATTGCAAGGGGCAAAAGTGGAGCTAGGGAACTCATTAAAAAAAAAAAATTATGCACAGTCCAGATGTAAGGTACCAGGACTTAGGTTAGGGGCTGCTGGGATAAAGCTCCAGGATACAAGGAATGCTGGGAAAATAGGACCCACAGAGGAGCCCCTATGGGAGAGATGTGGTTGATTAGGCAATGATCACCGGAAGATGCAAACTAGAAGCCAGTCTTGGAGCAGGGAAGGCAGGCAGCTGCAGGGGGCAAGGTGGGTGGACCTGGCTGGCTACTCCTTCCCATAAAGATAAGGAAGACTGTGATGAAGGTGTGTTTGTGGGTTTGAAGCAGAAAACTGGGCGAGTCCCTGACCAATGGCCATTCTCCCTGCAAGGTGGAGGCAGTTTTAAAGGGCTGCGATGGAAGAGGGGAGAGATTGTGACTGTTAGGTAGAAGGGTTGCTCTAGAAGGGACTGACCATTGGTCCAAAATAGGACATAAAGAACAATAAGCCCTCTAGCTGGGGCAGCTCAGAGACCCTGAAGCAGGATGTAAAGACTGCTTGGTATTGTTCTCTCCAACCTGAGGAATTTCCTTGCCAACAGAGCATGCCCAGAATGCTATCCTTTTCACCTAGTAAACCTTTCTGTAGGAGGAGTTTTCCTGTCCCGACTGCCTGCTCCAAAATAATCACTCAGAGGCTTAATATCAATTAGAAATGCTCAGTCGATAGCTCAGACTTATGTCTAACTAGCTCTTACTTTAAAAAACAGTAGGATAGTTTTTAATTTTTTTTAAGAAAGAGAACAAACTGTTTTCTCATTTTACATACCAATCCCAGTTCCCACTCCCTCCCCTTCTTCCGTTCCCTCCACTTTCCTCCCCACCCCACCCTCATCCACTCCTCAGAGAGGGTAAGGCACATTGCTTTGAGGAAGGACCAAGGCCCTCCCTACTATATCTAGACTGAACAAGGTATCCATCTAAAGAGAACGGGTTCCAAAAAGCCAGTAAAAGCACTAGGGATAAATCCTGGTGCCAATGTTGTCAGCCCGCCTGAGGCATCATCAGGCATGGCTGGAGGCCAGGCTGCAGGCATGAGGAGGGGGTGGCTGTGGGTTGGATTTCACTGGAACATTTGAGGGTGAGATGATGGGGAAGGGAAAATGAAGTACAGGGGACATGGGGAGAGGTTGACATGGTGGACCGCAAAGTCCAAACTTGAAGACAAAGAGGACCAGCGGGAGATGAAGGGGGAGGCAGAGCCAGGCAGATCTCTGTAAGTTCAAGGCCCACTCCATCTGCATAGCAAGTTCTCTGCCAGTCAAGGCTACATAGTAAGACCCTGTCTCTAAATAAATAAATAAATAAATACCCAAACTGGCATTGAGCAAAACATCAGCAGCAGGTGGGGTAGAGGGGAAACGCGATGCTCTCCCTTCTGAGGCCACAGTCAAGCTTTACATCCTCACGCATGGTTCCTAGACATCTGGAGACTACAAGAATGTTCTCTTGAAACTGCCCCTTCTGGTCTAGTCACACCCTACACAAGACCTCAGACCACCTGTACCCACACCTTCAGGCTCAGTCCTGGATGCAATCCTGGAAGTCGGCCCCGGTGATTCGTGCCAGTTCTCCCCTGCCAGCCAGTTCTCCCGACCTGGGGTTTACACCCGGAAGCTCCTGGGTCTTCATGCTTTGGCCAAGGACAGAAGGCAGTCAGCCCAGGACAGGTAGGGATGAGCCCCACCCCACCCTTCCCCTTGGAGTGTTCTTGTCTAAGTCTGTGTGACTCCTACCTCCAGGTGAGATTATGGATTATGGTGTCAGTCGCTGAGTACAACCAGCGAGTAGCAGCTGAGATGTTGGAGCCTTAGTCTGTCGGTCTGGGCAGTAGCGCTCAGGAGGAGTACAGTGCAGATGCTGCTCTGACTGTTCATCTTACTGTTTTTACAGCATCCGCCGTTTCTATTCAAATCCTTTGCTATCCTCGCGGGAGCCTCTGAGTCCTGGAGAGCAGCCTTTCAAACCTCCAGCAAGAAGTGAATGGCAAGAGAGGAGTCTTAGCAAGCTCCTCCCGCAGCGTGAATGCTGGCTACCTACTGTCGGGAACTATTGTGGAGTACCAATCCTTAGAAATCTAGTTCACTTACTCTCAGCGTTGCCAGCAACACTATGAAGAGAATACCGTTACAATATCCATTTTACTGATCAATTGGAACAGAGAGGTTCAATAACTTGTCCAAGTTCACACAGCATGCCAGAGTCAGAACTGGGACTTGAATTAACCTGTACTCTCAAGTCATTGTTAGGATGCTGTTAAGAGGGGTGTGTGTGTGTGTGTGTGTGTGTGTGTGTGTGTGTGTTTTATGCATACATAGGTGCACATGTGTGCTCCTTTGTGCAGGGGCCAGAGGTCAGTCTCAAATGTCCTCAAGAGCCATTCACCATGAGTTTTGGGACAGTGTCTCTATCGGCCTGATGTGTGCCAAGTAGGATAGGTTGGTTGGATAGCAGTTCCAGGGGTCTGCCTGTCTCCACCTCTCCCGTCGTGCTGGGATTTACAAGCATGCACCACCACACCCAGCTTTTTATGCTTTCTGAGATGCAAACTTAAACGTGAGATCCTTGTGTTAGTGCAGCAAGCTCTACTGAATGAGCCGTCTCCGCAGCCGGAAGTTTCTTAAACTTGGCATCTGTGGCTTTCAGGACTCCCTCCCTCGCGTCTGCTCTTTGCACAGCATAAGAAACATGGCCATGCCTTTGAAGGCAGCCAAGACACTAGGTTCTCCTCCAAACTCAGGTCTGAATTGGAAGCTCTGGGGCACAGCGCGTAGTAGCCATTGGTGAGGAGTGGGCAGTGGCGAGCTGGGGGCAGGACCTGAAGCCAGAAGAGGACAGGTGAGAGAAGGCTGGGTTAATAGCATTATTCTCTTCCTCCATGGTTCGGCACCTTTGTCCCTCGAAGCCTATGACCCAGGTCAAGTTTCCTCCCTGTGCCTGGAACCAAGCACGTGGAACATGGGAACAGACTGCCCCAAAGAATCAAGTGAGGCGCTAGGACAAGGTCCAAGGTTCTGCGACTTCAGGGTCTTGCTCAGCCAGGCCTGGCATCCAACAGCGGGTTCTGAGAGGAAGCCACGCTTGTGGAACTTGATTGCTGCGGGCAGGAAAACAACTGCTAATTTTGAATCAGCACTTACCATCTCCTGGGTCCTCAGAGACTCCAGCCCCATCCTGAAGCTTCTGTAAAAATGGCAGCAGTTGTCCCACACTCAGGTCCAGAGCGACATGAGGCAGTTCCTCCTTGGTGGAGGCTGAGGGCAGGGAGCAGGTCAAACTGTGTTTGCGGCAGCTCCTTCCTTAGAGGCTGGGATGTGTCCATCCCTTAGGCCCACTCTACACAGGAGCCCTCCTTCAGGGTCTCAGGCTGTTCTTCCTAAGTTTTCAAGAGTCAAACCATCTCTGAACTCAGGAACAACTTGGTGACTCAGACCCCGTGAGCCAGACCTCTTCCCTCTAGTTCCTCCTCCCATTTCCAGGCCCGGCCCTTCTTTTCGGACAACCCCTACCATGTACCCGCCAGACACTCCTCTCTTGGCATCTCCTCTCAGTTGCCCTCCCTGCCAGTTTCATACATTGCTACTCTCTAGGACTACACGGCTGACACCTCCAAACCCAAGTCCCCAGGCTGGACAGCTTCCAGATAAACCCTGTCCTGGGTATGCGCCGTGGAAATCCTTCCTCTGACCTGCAATGGCCGTTCCCCAACCCGCTTTTCTGTTACTGTGCCCAGATGTCAAGCCAGAAACCAGGGCAGCTCCCCAGATTCAGAGTCAGTGACGTCCGTCAGCTCTGCACCTTCCTGTGACTGGAATCTGTGCTGTGCCTCAGGTCTTATCACCCATTTGTCTCTTACTCCGCTCCCTCTCCATCTGCAACCACATTGGCTTAATTAACTAATTAATTATTGCTTTGTCCATGTATGTGCCTGTACACAGCACACAAGTAGAAGTCAGAGGACAATTTTGTGGAGTTGATTCTCTCCTTCCACCTTTACATGAGTTCCAGGGATTGAACTCTGGCCATCATCGAGTTTGCATCCTGCTTGCATGAGTCAAGCCTTTATAGCTATACCATCTCACTAGGCTTGAAGGGCTTTTCTCTCTTAATTCTATCATTTTGAAGAAGAAAAAAAAAGGTAGAGATGAACCTCAGCCGTTCTCAGCTCAAGTGTGAGCTCTCTGTCTCTGTCTCTCTCTCTGTCTCTCTCTGTCTCTCTCTCTCTCTCTCTCTCTCTGTCTCTGGGCCTCTGAGGCCCTAACCAGTGTAGTCACTCTACAGTTTCACAACTGATAAGGACTCTCAGACACACCTCACTGTGATCTATCTGAAATCCTCGCTTTTCTCAAGCCCCTCCCTTCATCAGCCACTTCCCCCACGTCCATTTCCTTCTCTGTGGACTTTTCCTTCAAAGGCTGACTCTGGGCAGACACAAAGCAGGGTAGCTACCTGGCTTGTGAGGATGGCCCCTTTGTGGGAATGATCTGGAACAAACAACACCTCCCCACCCCCAATCTCCTGTATGCTACAGGACTCCAGGCTCTTGCATCCCCCCAGGTCTTGGCTGATTAGATCAGTGGTGAATTCTTGAACCGAGCTGGACCAGTGTCTTGCCTGATTGCTTGGAACTTAGACTCCTTGAGATTTTGGAAGTTCTAGGAGAGTCACTCAATGTCACATTCATGACAGAGCATTACAGGTATAGCGCCAGCCACCAACCACAAGGCTAGGACAACCTGCTTCCTGCTTCCTAAATTAGCTGTCCCTTTGCTTCTATGCAAGGCCAGGATCCTTCCCCAAGCCCCTTTTTACTCTTTATAATGGAAGAAGCTTAGTTCAAGCTCCTCCCATCTCAAGCTCTGCCCATCTTAAGGTGGCCTGATGAGCCATCCTCCCAATCACCTTATTTTATTTATTTATTTATTTATTTTTGGTGTTACAGATGTGCCGCTGCATGTGTACATTGGTTCTCAACCTGTGGGTTGCCACCCCTTGGAGTCACATATCAAGCATTACAGTATGATTCATAGCCGTAGCAAAATTACAATTATGAGGTAGCAACAAAATAATTTTACGGTGGGGGTCACCACAACATGAGGAACTGTATTAAAGGGCTGCAGCATCAGGAAGGTTGAGAACCACTGTGTCAGACCTTCACAGGGATCTGACTCAAACTCAGGTTGTCAGGCTTACGCAGCAAGCGGTCTCCCTTCTGGGCCATCTTGTTGGCCTCACAGCTTTTTTTTCTTTTTCTTTTCTTTATCGTTCTCTCTTTTCTTCCTTCCTTCCTTTCTTTCTTTCTTTCTTTCTTTCTTTCTTTCTTTCTTTCTTTCTTTCTTTC